TTGTGAAATAAGAAGAAGTTATTCTAATGGAAAAAGAAATTAAGGTGGGGGAAGCAGGAATTGAAAGAAAGGAAATGGACGAAAGATTAAAAAAAGGTAAATTAGAAACAAAGCTTTATAAATAGGGATAGGAAGAGGGACTGAAGGGTTGCGAGAGGTTTGTGACAAATAGAGATTTCTGTTTACATCCTGCACCCATACAAATTCTCTATGATGAATACGGGCTTTATGTATATCTAAACAGTATCAATAAACTTAATTTTAAAAACCATTATAATAAACAACTGAGACATGTTGTGTTCATCTCAATAGATGCAAAAAAAAATACTTGAGATCAACACAATTCATAATAATGCTTAGCAAACTAAGAATGATATAATAAAGAATATTTGAACCAATTAAAAAGTTAATAAAGATGCATCTATTAAAAGAAGATGGTGGATAAACTATGCATTTTTAGGATGAATATAAAATATAAAAGTAATTGTAATTACACAAACATATGAAAGAGGCAACACATTAGAACATTAGACTTCAAATGTAAAGAAGAATGCAAGAGAAGTGTAAGATATTGATTAGTATTTTTCTTTTAGTTAGTTGTTTCTTTTCATATCTTTATGATCATTGTTAAGTTGCTCTCATTTTGAAATAGTTATACCCAAAGATAGTTTTTATAAGCTTCATTTTATTCAAAAAGCAAATATCTATGAAAGACAAATCAACAATCATAAGAAAGAAATCAATACATGGTACCAAAGTGATGAATTTTACTAAAAAGAAAGTCTGAGAGGAGAAATAAGCAATCAATAGTAATAAAAGTTAATAATGAGTATTAAAATGGTTGAAGTAAGACCTTATCACTCAATAGGTATCTTGAATATAAATAAAGGAAAGGTTCCAATTAAGAAACAGCGTGAATAGATAAACATTTCAAGACTATAACGAATGAATTTTTTCCAAGACTCTTACTTTACTTTTGGAGACACATACAGACTGGAGGGAATGTGTGGAATTCATAGTGCATGCAAACGGGACCCAAAAGAAAGCAAGAGCTGTTATACTTTGACTAGTAATACTTGACTTTAAAGCCAACACATGGTAAAAGAGACAAAGGAGGACAGAATGTGTGATAAGTGAAACAGTTAGTATAAAGAAATGAATCCATATGTACCAATATCTAGTTCATAAATATTTAAAGGAAATAATAATGAACTAAAAGATAAACTCCCCAAATATCAGTTGTAGATTTTAACATGCTTCATCAATGAACATCATCTAGACAGAAAACAAAAATAATACAGCAGAATCAAACTCCACTTTTGGGGAATTAATTGTAAACAGCATCTACCAATCTTTGCATCTGTTGGCTACAGAATGTACAATTGTCTCAACAAAGCAACAATAGTCTCAGAATAGCCCCGAAGTCACAAGACAAAGCATAAGCTTTGTAAAAATACTGAAATCATACCACTCACCTTTTCTAATTATAATGCAATTAAATAAAAAATCAATAAAATAGAAACTATAGAAAGACATAAATATGAAGTAAATTGCTCATGAACAATGAATGAGTTAAAGAACAAGTTAGAAGAAAACTTTAAAATTTCTTGAAACAAATGATAATGAAACACAACATGCCAAAACTTATAGACACCACAAAAGCAGTGCTAACAGGGAGAATTATGGCAATCATTGCTTACCTAAAATCCCACCAAACAGTAGAAAAATTAAATAATAAATCAATGTGTCACAAAGCACTAGAAAAATAAGAACAAACCAAACACCAAGTTAGCAAAAGGAAATGAATAATAACAATTATTGCAGACAGAAATGAAATGAAGACAAAATGAATACAAAATATTGTGTCATCCTCAAAGGTGGATCCTTTGAAGAAACTGATGAAGAAGTCACTGGAATCAGTGAGTAAGACTTAGGGAAATTCTAGACAGGATCTATGTGGATGTTGGGGTGGAAGCTCATCTGTCATTTCTAGTTTTAAAGTGGAAATGGGAATCTTTATCAGAACTCAGAAATGGTAGCCTGTGGAGAAGGGCACTTGAGGATCTTGTCTGTCTCTGCAGAGGTGAAGCCAGCATGAGGATTAACAGTGAGGGTCTGGTTCAGTGTCCATGCATAAGGACTCCAAACAGGGGACCTTCTGCATTCTTATTTTCTTTCCGTATCCTCTACTGACCAAGTCAATCCAGAGAACAGCAATGGATGTCACACAGTTGATTGCAGTCACACACAAATCAGGGTAGAAATAAAATTTATCAAGCACATAGTTTTCCTCAATATCACCCTAGTTTTCATACTGTATCTGGTGTCATGGATGGTGATGTAGGTAGTGTTCTTCCTACAACTCTAAAGATGACAGTCATCTTCTCCTCATCCAATGGGACATTCAGAATTGAGCTTATTACCTAAAGATGGAAGAGAGTTTGGCATTTGAGGGGAGTGCAGTTGCTTTATATCTCCTTCCCTTGTACAGCTGACAAATAGCATGGACCACCAGTGACAGTCCTCTTAATTTGGAGTCCTTGTTCGTGTCCAATTTAGATAATGTCAATGCAATTTAAATTTCTATTGGAATAAAGTTGAAAGCAACTCTGGAGCACTTTCAGAGTCAGGGGCAGAAGTAAGAACAAGCACTGTTTTGGTAGTTTCAGAATAATATTTATGGAAATTGAGATGTGAAAATTTTTCTTGTAATAGGGTATCTTTGTTCCTTTTTTAGGACTAGATTTGAAAATAACACATTTTCTATGAAAACATTTATCTCTCTTGGCTGAATGTTTTAAATACAATAACACTTGAAGTTTAACAGACACTTTACATTTTATAAAATTGATTTCTGTGCTAAATGGAGCTAATACTATAATTTAAACCTACAACTCTTCTTAATTACTTTTTGTCTGTTAGTGGTCCAGACAACAATCTGTTGCATGATGTAATTAGCTAAAAGGCATTCATTACTGAAAATTTTGTATGGGCATCATTCATTGAACTATTCACCCAGTTTTAATCACATCATATTTACTTAATTTATTTTATTAGAAGGAACTTTATGACAGAAATAAGGAAACTGATGCATGAATGTGAATATTTAATTTAAAATCTTAGTTCCATTGTGTATTGTATGTTTCCTAAGAAGGCAAAACTGTCATTCTTATCAAGCATTATATAAAAAACCCTTTGATTTTGGTTTCTGTGCTCTCTCTGCTCTTATTAAAGTCCTTAATAAGTCCCTCTCTGGTTATATCACATTACAATTTCTTTGCTGTATTCTCATATTCTGCATGTAAACCAAGGTTTTATTTCATATTTTGTTGCATCATCTATTCAAAATATTGAGGCAACAAACATTTGATAATTTCCAAAATGTTTTTTCTTCCTTAAAGTGCAATGCAGGCATTTACTGTGGGACAGAGGCACTTGGGAAAGGCCATAACTGATATGCAGGCAGGCAGAGGGTTACAGCCCCTGTCCTTCATTTCTCTTAGGACCTTAATATCTCTAAGGACTGGAGAAAGCCATATTAACTCAGCCTGCTTGTACTGAGCACAGAACATTCACTAATGACAAGAGGAACCATTCTACCAAGTATGTAAGACTTAAGGGGAACATATTTTGGAGAAACTAGGAACACATATGAGGGGACTGTGAAGAGCAAAAAGGAGGAGGGCTGACACTGAAAATGTGAGAATAGTTCAAGGACTAGTTCAGGAAAGAGCAGTGCTCACTTAAGTTCAGGACATAATTTTCACCAAAATATGTTTATTGCTTGTAAATTCCAAATTCGAGTTAGACTTGTCAAACAGACAGGACTTAAAATGTCAGTGCATGGCTTGTTTTTTAGACAGAGTGGAGGACTCTTTGCATATATAAAAAAGCAGTAATTTCAGAATGACACTGGAATTTCACCAGATAACAAAGTTCTTTAAATTCCCAAATATCAGTGCTTTTATTATGTATTTAAATACTCTCCAAAGTTGATAGCATCACATTTTGCATCCAGTAGACTTTCTAGATGATAAGCAAAATGCGTTAGCCCCCTATTCCTATTCTAGGACATGCAGGAAGTGATCAGGTGGACATGGGGATCAGTTTGAAATGATATGATCAGGAGCAATAAGAATAGCATAATCAAGTTTAAGCATTTTTACACTATAAAGATTTATGGAATAAAGGAAGAACAGTTATTACCCAATATATATGTTCTATAGTCCCTGCACATGTCATAGAAACTTCACAATATGCAATGCAACTGATCAGATTCATATGTCATAGGCATCTGAAGGATCTCATTCTGGTCTAGGGTAAACTTCACTTTCTATTATGGATGTAGTTCTTTCAAAATAGCCACTAAATAAAGAGACAGGAGATTAATATCCTTACACTGCTTTGTTTTGTTTTGTTTTGTTTTTCCTTTTAAATAAAACGAAAAAAAAGAGAAAAAAAATTTTAAAAAGGCAAGTTTCCTAGTCCTGACAATAGTTGAGAAACTTGGAGGAAGGATCAAAAATATAGGAAAGGACTGAAAATCTAAATACTGGATGTCATCATGAGTGCAATCATTGAAAGAACAAAATCAGTTCCACAGCATAAACTACACAATAGGAGATGGAAGAGTTTGAATAGGAGTGATGCTTCTCAATTCTTTCTTGAATTCTACCAGAGTTCTGGGCATGGTGTTCTACTTCCTGAAAGAAAATGACAATCTGAGACAGACAAAGAAATCAAGTAAAATCATCCAAAGAGTAATTAAAAAGGGCTAATATCAATCCAGTGCCCCTGGACCTGAGAATTCCTAATAAAATTACAAATTAAGATTTAATCCAGAATTTGTGTGTGTTGTGTGTATGTGGCTGTGTGCCCACCTGTCCAGGTAATCTTTGAAAGGTCATCCATGTTTGGAAGGGAAGTTGAATGGATTTGCATATGGGAGGCAGGAGTGCAGATCAAGCTTAGAGTGGACAGATACATGACAATAACCAGCAATGAAACGAAGAAAGAACAAAGCAGAAATGTTAAAGTGGATTAAAAATCTAGAGGTAAACACTGAAGTTTTGATTTATTTATTTTTATGTTTTTTATTATTATCTGTTTTTAGTGCATAATTATTATCCTTATTTTGGGGAGTCTGTATGTGTACATATTTTAATTTGCTTTCTCTTCTTTCCCTGTAACAAACTTCTGCCCTTCCTATCTGCCCTATTAACATTTTTTCTTGTTATTTTTTCTTTCCTTTCTTCCTTACTCCCTGAAACTCTCGTTCATCTTTCAATTAGAAAACGTTCTCCATATTTCCTATCACCTACCTGTTTTTCTTTTCACGATGCAGATCTTGGATTTATCAAATCTCCTCCTCCCTGCAATGTAGTGTGGAACTGAACTGTGGTTGAACACTGAACTCCACGGCAACCTCAACGCCAGCAGCACCCTGTCCTCCACATTCTATCTCACAGGTGTCCCTGGCTATGAAGAATTTCACCACTGGATTTCCATCCCCTTCTGTCTCCTCTACCTTGTTGGAGTAATGGGCAATTGCACCATCCTGCATGTCATCCGGACAGATCTCAGGCTGCATGAGCCCATGTACTACTTTCTGGCAATGCTTTCTCTCACTGACTTGGGTATGTCCCTGTCCCCGATGATAACACTTTTCAGGGTGCTGTGGTCCATTTCTAGGGAGATTCAGTTCAATATCTGTGTGGTCCAAATGTTTTTGATTCATACTTTCTCCCTCACTGAATCATCTGTGCTCTTGGCCATGGCCCTGGACCGATATGTAGCTATCTGCCATCCACTGCGATATGCTACCATTCTCACCCCAAAGCTGATCATCAAGATTGGGACTGCAGCCCTGCTCAGGAGTGCTATTCTAATGATTCCACCTCTTGCTCGTCTGGCATTCCTTCCCTTCTGCCATTCTCATGTTCTTTCTCATTCTTATTGTCTTCACTAGGACATGATTTGCCTTGCCTGTGCTGACACACAATTTAATGTTTTATATGGTTTGGTTTTGACTGTTATGCTATGGGGCCTGGACGCTCTGGGAATTTTAGTATCTTACTGCTTCATCCTTCATTCTGTGTTAAGAATTTCATCCCGTGAGGGGAGACTGAAGGCACTCAACACATGTACCTCTCACATCTGTGCTGTGCTCATTCTGTATGTGCCTATGATAGGGTTATCTACTGTCCATCGTTTTGCCAAACATTCCTCTCTCCTTGTCTACATTTTAATGGCTCATATCTACTTAATGATTCCACCAGTGCTCAATCCAATCATCTATAGTGTGAAAACTAAGCAAATTCGCCAAGGTGTCCTCCACTTATTTCTTTGCCCCAAAGTTGGTTCTGTGGTGAGATAGCCAGTTTTTTAAGAAAGTAGCCATTTTTTCTCTACAACTGATGTTAAACTACAATTAAATATTTGTACTAGGCATGTTGCAACAAGAGTAGTAAGAAAAGCTTCTTCAAGAGAATGAAATAGATTCAGTTTAACATGCAAGTTTGTATCCAGTAGAGCAGTACAGCCTGACTTTGCAAATGCCTTATAATCTTTGTATATGCATGAGCAAAATGCTCAGGTTTGTGTTGCAAATAGTTTCTATTTATTTTCTCCTTCTTCTCTATCAAGCTGTAGTCAGTATTACTTATCTGTGAAGTTTTATATGAATATCCAAACCTACGTTTGCTATGTTTTTATTTTTATTTATTTCCTGACATTCCATAACATTTAACATGGAATCTTATGCTTTTTGTTGGTTAATTGTGATTGTTTTAAATAGATTAAATTTAGCTTTCTTGAGGATGGTAACATTCTATTTTGATATAAAAATATATTTTGACTAGAAACAGATGTGATGTACCTTGATGCTACATCAGAATCACCTTCTAAATGTTTATATCTAGCATCTTCTCTACCTGAAGAAACATAATTGCTTTTGGGATTCTAGGAGTGTCTTCTTTTTTGACAAGGTATGTTTTGTTTAAGTAATTATTTTGGGAAATAATTCAGACCATCTAGAAAACTGAAACTTATTTTGTTTTAACTGCAGATATTATATTATAAACATAGTTGTGAACTTTGTCTTAAATATGTCTTCTTTGGTATTATTTAGCTCACTGCAGTTGATATATAAACCAAAGTTCACTGAGTCATATTGTATAAGAGCAGGAAAAAAATAACATAACTTTTAATATTAATGTAAATTTTTAAAGAACAAAACTCTCTTATATTTTTTCAGTTGTTAATTTTTATCAGTACACATTGATCCCGTACAATGATAGCATGCCTCATGAGGACTCAATACACGTACATGGCACTTCTTAATTATTTTTACCTTTGCTTCTCCTCCCCGCAATCCTCCCTCATTATCATTTAGTGTCCCTTGCTTCACAAAATCTCTGAATCCTTATTTGACCTATCTTTATAGTATCTGTGAAATTATGTTGCATATAGTCATACATATCTTGTATTATAATCTTTGCAAAGAAAATAGAAAAGTTAATTCATTTGTTTTCCCTGTTTCAATGAAAGAAACAGAATGAACAAAAAATGTAAGAATACTTTATATTTCCCTATATTTGCAGAGATCTTAATAACAGTGAGTTTTTATACTAAATTTTATAATAATTAGGCAACAATTGTAAGGATTACCACTTTTCTTTTTTTATAAAAGTTGTCACTTTACACTGAATGTATAAATGATCGTGAAATAAATCAGTCATTGAATAAATGAAGATTAGTTTGGATATACTTTTCAAATCCATGGGCCAAAGAGAATCCTTCAATATCTGACCCAAGAACATTAACTTTGAACAAGGTATCTGGGGCTACTCTGTACACAGAAGAAGCTGGTGAGAATGAACTACTCTCTCCAAGTTCATTCTTCATTCATTTGTGCAATATAACAACACTGTAGCTTTGTAAATCTGGATTTGCTTTTTCTCTACCATGAAGAGTGATAACACAGAAGACTACCAGCAAAATTTAACATGGCAACTACTCAGCATTAAATAGTCAAAATGTTGCCAGGGTGCAGAAAGAATGTGTAGCCTGGTTAGAGCTTCTAACCTTAACCATAACCTTAACATTTAGAATCCAAGACTAGCAAAAATTGAGATAATCCATTTCATCCAGACATATATTACAGAAATACTGAAGGAGATTTTCAAGCTAAAAGAAGAGTCAGAAGAAAGCATGAGAGAGTAAAAAAAAAAAATACTAATCAATAAGAACTGTACAGAGAATTTAGAGTGCTCTAAAACTAGAAGCATGGCAGATGAAACTAAAAATAAACCAATTACAATAGTTAATGTCGTTAATATAATAAGAGAGGCAATATGCAAGTTTTAAAATGAGATACTAACACTTAAATTGTTAGCTTATAGAGTTTTCAGATTAGTGTGTACTTTCTAATTTTTTGTCATATATATATATATATATATATATATATATATATATAATGTTGGTAAATAAGCTATTTTGAAATGATAGTGACATAATTTTATATTTTTATTATATATACTTATGTGTATGTGTGTGTGTGTGTGTGTGTGTGTGTGTGGTACTGAGGATCGAATTCACAGCCTCACACTTGCCAGACAAACACTACCCAGGATATATTTTTGTAAACTTATTTAGAACCACAGATGAGACCCATAATACATACATCAAAAATAATGAACAGAGAGTCAAAATCTGCTAAAGAAAAAGAAAGACTGTAAGAGGTTTAGAAAAAAGCAGCAACAGTAAAGGTAGAAAGAATGTATGAAAATGTAAACAGTAAGATTTGACATCTCAGGAGTTATTGAAATGTAAACAACAAATTTCCTACTTATAAGGCTGAGGATAACTGAATGGATGGAAGGAGATCTAATTATATATTGTTTACAAAAGGTTCACTTGGCATCTTTCTTTTCTTTTTCTTCCTTTCTTTCTGTTTCTTTTCTTTTCTTTTCTTTTCTTTCTATTTTTTGAGATAGTGTATGCCGATGTATTTGGGATTATCCTTGAATTAGCTGTGTAGCTCAGGCTGCCCTCAAACTCATGGTGATCCTCTCAACTGTTGTGGTTATAAATGTACACTATTATCCTGGGCTCACTTCATATTTAAGAAGACGTACAGACTAGAAATGAGTGAATGGAAAGAAGATGTTCCATGTAAAAGGAATCCAGACTGAAAAAAAAAAAAAAAAAAAGAAAGAAAGAAAGAAACTGAGTTAGAACACAATAGGAAAGAACAAATGTAGTCACAGATTTATCAGGCATAATAGACTTTAAATCAAAAGCTATAGAAAGAGGGAAATAATGACAAAGTAGCTCTTTAAACAAGAAGTGTTAAAAATTTGAAATATACATCAAGCCAATATTGGAACAGCCAGATATTTAAAGTATATATTATGAGACTTTCAGGGAGAAATAGACTTCCAAACAATAATAAATGTACAATTTAACCAACCATTTTCAGCAATGGATAGCTCATACACACAGAAATTCAAGAAAGTAAAAACAGAGTTAAATTTTGTCCTAGACCCACGGACCTAATATATTGACCAAGCACTCTATCCAAAACTTGCTGAATAAAGGTTTTTCTCCTAAGCAGAAAATAAGTAAAATTGTTGAATATAGGAACTTAATAAAGAGTTAGCGAGTACTTCATTCATCTACAACATAATATAAACTCGATTTAGTAGCACCGGCTATTTTCTCCAAAATAGATTATATTTACTAAGCACTCCATCAAAAAATTGCTGAAGAAAGCTTTTTCTCAAAGAAGCCATCCCCTTCCTGTGAGCCACTGCCAGTCACGGTTCCCAAGGAGGAAAACAAAAAGCCAGTTAAGAAAGAAATCTAGAGCTTATTTCCTTCATGAACATACACAAGAAAATACGAAAGGGAAATCTACTAGGCATGCTTCTTGTGGCATAATTTACACAAGAAGCTCTGTAAGCAAAGAAGGAGAAATCATTTGTGGAAAATTTTTTAAATACCCTTTATATGTTCACAGTGGAGTAGTGTTCAGCCAAGAAGGGTCGAACCAGGTCATCTTCAGTTAGATAGACCAACTCCAAAGACAAATAGCACATATTCTTTTTCACATAGACAACAGTGGTAAAAATGACACATCACGTGAAAGTAAAAAGAGAGAATACAACGAGAGTGAAAGAAAGGAAGGGAAAGAAGGGATGGAGGGAGAGCAAATGGTCAGAATAGAATAAATGTATCTATGAGAACATCAAAGTATTACTTGGTATTCTGTGTAATTAATATGAAAAAAGAGAATAATACTTAAGATCATAAAATAACTGTATCAAAGGAAGTAAACATTTCTTTATATATATAGTTATAAATTACCAGTTATCAGAAGTTACTTAATATATGTGTTATGTCACAGCAAAACTAATGGTTGGAGCAAATTCATTGTAATGCAATTTTAATCTGTCAAGTATCTGAGAATGGGACACTAAATCACACTATTGTGTGTTCACAGAGCATTTTGATACAGAGGATGACTGTCAAGATGCTACAGCTGAATACAAAGATGTCACGGACACTCAACTTATTCATCTTCTATACATTTTCAGATAAAATTTTCTCTTTTTAAAAGTAAGAGATAATTTAAACATGGTGGCCCGTTCTGTAAGAGGCTGAGGTAGGATCAAATTGAGCCCAACCTTTGCAACTCAGCAAGTCAGAGAGAACTTTCTTCAAAAGAATAGTTTTTAAAAAGTTAGGAACAGTTGGGTGTGTATCAAAATGTGAAGGCCCTGGGTTCAATTCCCAGGAGATCAAAAATCAAACTGACAAACAAACAAACAAACAAACATCAATGAGAAATTAACACAGGTCTAACAGATTTATCCAGATGAAGGCCTCGTATGCCAGGTTGATGACTATTTCAAAATGTAACCATGTCTATGTATGTGGGGCATACCAATTACAGTGATGAGTCTTTCAAAAATAAGTACTTGACTAACAAAAAAGTCGAGATGGATGGACTGTGATCCATGTTTAAAGGTACTCTGTAACTTTACAAACATGAAGGTTATATTTTACCCCTTCTAATGTTAAATAAAGCCTCGTTGACCATTTTATAAAGAATATGAAACGTGAATTGAAATTTGAGTGAGATGTGTTCGCTCTTTGTGCTTGAAATCAAGTCATCAGTCTAGAAATACTGTTACAAGAGTTGGCATGACGGAAGTGGCAGCTACATTGTTCTAAGTGAAAGGAATTAGAAGAAAATGTTCACAGTGGAAGAATGGAAAGGACTTATGATAGAATGGTAGGGAGTTGACACACTTAATAAAGTTCAACAAAGAAGAAGAAAAGAACCACCCTCGTTGAAATTACTTGTTTTTGACTCAAGATTAGGTTGAAGATTATCTTAGCTGCCGATATGCTCTTTGAGTCAAGTCCACTCAGCATTAGTTCATATTTCCTTCACTTTCTTTCACAGGGGAAATTCAGAGGAGCATATCAGATATCTTTCATGTTCATCTTTTCCTTGTATTTTCCCTGCAATCCATTATGGGTGCTCTCTACCATTGCTGGTCTTCCTGAGGCAGTGCTTTAATGTTTTATCAAGTACTTCTCAGACATTTTCATACAGCACAATCTAGAAAACTGGAGCATAAGTGAAGTATACAGATGTGTGCTCACTAATGTCCAGTTCCTGATGCTTTCATGGTAAATGAAATCCTGACTCCTAGAGAGTGAGTGGAATACTGTGACATTTGAATGTTTGTGTTGTGATCCAAACTATGTGATAAGATTCTTTCACACCTAAGCAACATATCACAATTGACATTTGAAAGAAGGAAAAAAAGTAGCAAGTGTAAAAAAAATTAAGTCTTTTTTGAATTGTGCCATACCTGGGTTAGACTTCTACAGGATAGGCCTTGGGAATGTCTATTGTGATGGGTCTTATTGGGGATATTACAGAATTTGCAAAAAAGGCATGAGCAAAATGAAACTGGAAAGAAGGAGACTGCAAAAGATGAAAGGTAAGTATGGGAGAAAACAGTAATTATGAATATTGATTTTTTTTTACTTATAGAAATAAAACAATAAACTTGTCTCCTTGAAAGTATCACATGGATTTTTTTTAGAGTGAAACTGCTATACAAACATGTCAGTATTTAAGACTGCTTTACACACAGGAATGGGTATGATCCCTGTATGGGGAGGATGAGACAGAAAGACTGCAGATTTGAAAATCATTTGAGGAAGTTTAATTTCATAGGAAATTCTTGTCTCAATAAACAAACAAACAAAAATATCAAATAAGTAAGTACCAGTGATGCACTCAATGCAAAGGCCCTTGGTTCAGTCATAGTGCAACAATTTTTCTTAAAACATGCAAAAGTATAAAATTTAAATTTTGGGGTCAGAACAGCAGAAAAAGAATTGATCTTATAAAAACAAAACGTACATCACAATCCCTCTGCACTGAACTATTGGGAAAGAAAAACAGACTTTTGAAAATGTCACAAATTAGAGACATATTAGTTCTTAATGAATCCAAAAGGCATGGCAATGCTTAATTAAGTCCCTTGAGGTTTTGGCTGGGACAAGAGATCTCTTATTCCAGGTTCATAGCTCCTCCTTCTCCAGACTTTTGTCAGGGAATATCAGAATTGGCATCTGGCAGTTTCTTATCGAGCTGGAGCTGAAGGGATTCACAGTGTGTTCTACAATGCTGCAGACTTTGTATGAATTTGTTGGAAGGTAAACATGAACTCAGACTTACAGAGGAAAAGAGTATGTGTATTGCAAAGACAAGAAAGGAGTGAAAAGCTGTTCCAGAAATGTTCACACTATTTGACTGACACCACCCAGGTGACATTATAGAGAACACTCAGCATGAAGAGTAAAGAAATAGACTGAAATCTCTGGAAAAGCATCAGTGAGAAATGAGTAGAAGTGACAAAAAAAACTGACAGTACTTTTCAGACACCAAGTAAAAACACTACCTCACAAACAGCATCTCTAGAAAAAACGTAAATGTTCTGAAAATTACTCGCTGTAATTTGTCTTTACCAGGTTTTGCAGTAACACCCACACAGTTTAGGTAAGTAGATATTTACATGCTCCCACCAAATACTACCTTTGTTTGTGAGTATGTGTACTCACAACTTAGCTGCTTATTCTGAAATTAGTCAGGAGATGATTGCTAAAGAATTGATCTTCTAACTCTGATTATGTTTGGATGCTATAGAAATTTCCCCCTATTAGAAAGAGTCAGTGATTCATGGATCCTAATGCCATAAAACTAAGCATTTGAAAGAAAACCTGTGCAAACCATAGTACTTAGTTAACTAAACAGTTTGTTCTAAACACATGTCAAATAATAAAGCCTTTCGAACATAAAATGCCTTCTGGTGATTCTCATCCTTCACTGAAGGTTTAGGGTCATTAAGCCTAGCTGCTGATGGAACTGCTGGTGTTATTTTGATATGACATACAAATTTAGCTGATTACCTGAGCCTGCTAAAATACAGAAAAGTCATTAGAAAGTCTAAGAATGAAAAATAATACATTTTTACTTTTTACAAAATCACTGATAATTCTCTAGTATACAGTGTAAAATGTATCAGTTTAAAATCTGCAGTTTGTAACTAGTGAAAATTTCAGTTAAAAAATTTCAGATTGGGCAACAGAAAAAAAAGTGTAGAGAAAATTCAGTCATCAGAGAAATTAAGAAGTGATTAAACCTCTAAGTTATTCTGAAGTCCTCATCTGAAAAATTTCTGATATCCCAAAATTTGTTACCTATTTTACTTAACTAACAATATATTCGGCTCTTTAACTAAATCTCTTCACCCCCTTAGTTTTCATTAATTCCTTACAGATAAGTTCATGAAATGATATTTCATTACAAAGTAACGAATCTATATGGGTCATGTCTCATGCAATTAATAGTTGCAGGAATTTTAAAAGCAAGATATTGGCTTTTATTCTGAATAAATTATACAACTGCTCTTTTTCTATGTTTGGATTTCATTAAGAACATTTTCTTTAATCAAGTGCATTAGTGTTGTCAATTATTTTGTTTCTTAGGGGTTTCTCCTATGATTCTCTAGCATTTTACAGGATTTTTGCCATTTTAAACTAATTGTAAGCATGTAAGATGCAGGAAATATAATCAAAGCAAAGTAGAAATTCAAAGTGGGAAAGAAGAGTGACTCGGACACATCAAAAGTTCTTTCACATTACTTGTGTGAATTAATTAACCACAGTAGATGTAATTATTGTGTACTGTAAATATGACCAAGAAACAAAAGAAGAAAATGGAAATTTGAAAAAATATTTTAATTTTGATTTTTATATAATTTTTTTCAGAATATGTTGAGAAAATATGCTCAAATGTGCTGTGCCGTGTTTCTTACTGCCATGATTTAAAAATTCTATACAGATACAAATGATACAGACATTTATTTATTTATGATATTAATATTGATCTCAGAGCCTTCATACTTATCTATAGCTCTACACTTCCCTAATTTTTAAAATTTCAGATGAGGTCTGGAGAGCCTCCTCATTTTACAAGAGTTCTAAAACTACAAGTGAGCACCAAGACACCTGGTCTATATTATTCTATTGAGCTACAACTATTTCTGAGGCTACTTCCTTATCATGCATGGAGCCCACTTTACATTAACAAGTGAATCATACTTAAAATTTGCTAATTGAAACAGACTGATCTTCACTAAAAGATGATTTGAATAAGAATACTATTAGAAGAACAGACAAACTTCAGATACGGAGAAACATAGCAGGACTTTAAGACACTTTGAATTTCCAATAAAAACAAGTCTAATTTTTTCACCCACAGGTTTCAACATAAATTATCAAAAGATCAACAAGCTGGTCTTGACTCAGCCAATTTTGCTGAATTGAACACAGCCATTGTTTTACATGGAGAGCACCTCACTGTGTTAGACTACACATGCATTTCTCTCTGAAAGCAATAATGTGTCCCTGTGGAGCTTTCTTTCTCCTTTGATAGTATGAAGGAGTTCCCTGAGACTATCTTAGAGTTCAGCCAATATCAAAGAGACACAGTATGGTGGTTTTGGATAAAAACACAAAGTAGATCTACAGTAGCTGTGGATCTTCTGTTGACATCAGGGGGACCAAGAACACCATGTCACTCTCCAACATCACAGTCTTCATGCCTTCTGTCTTGATGCTAATTGGGATCCCAGGCCTAGAGTCTGTGCAGTGCTGGATCGGAATCCCTTTCTGTGCCATGTATCTTATGACTATGATTGGAAATGCTTTGCTTGTGGTTGCCATCAGGTCAGAGTGCAGTCTCCATAAGCCCATCTACATTTTTGTAGCCATGCTAGGCGCTACAGACATTGTGCTTGCTACCAGCATTATGCCCAAGATGCTTGGAGTCTTCTGGTTTCATTTGCCAGACATCAATTTTGATTGCTGCCTGTTTCAAATGTGGCTCATCCACACCTTTCATAGAGGCTGGCATTCTGCTCTCCATGGCCCTTGATCGTTATGTGGTAATCTGCTATCTGCTGAGACATGCCACCATTTTCAACAGCTGGTCACCCAAATATGAGCTATGGTATGGCTGAGGGCTGCCATCCTTGTGGCCCCATGTATAGTGCTGATAAAGTGTCAGTTCCAATTTTATCACACAAAAGTCATCTCCCACTCCTGCTGCAAGAATATGGCTATTGTGGAACTAGCTGAAGGAAATGTCAGGTCAACAAAATGTATCGTTTGTTTGTTGCCTTAACTGTTGCAGGATTTGACCTCACATTCATCACACTGTCCAACATCCAGATATTTATCACAGTTTTTAATTTGCCCCAGAAGGAGGCTAGGTTGAAGGCTTTCCACACCTGCATTGCTCACATCTGTGTCTTCCTCCAGTTCTACCTCCTGGCCTTATTCACCTCTTTTACTCACAGGTTTGGCTCTCACATCCCCTCATGGATCCATATCCTCTTTTCTAGCTTTTGCTTGCTGATTCCTCCATTCCTCAACCCACCTGTCTATGGTATAAAGACAAAGCAGATTTGCATTAATGTGGTAAAAATGTGCTGTGTGTTATACACTGTCCTTGGTAGATTGAAATCTGATGGTCAACATAGACACCAGCTGAACTGCATCTGCATAGTGCTGTGTGTAGATGGCTCACTTCCAGATGGTTCCCAACTTACAAAGGAGAACTGAAGAGGCAAGAGTTGTTTGGTGCTCTTGGTTCTCCCATTACTGCTAGTCCTCCTGGAGGAGTGTGTCAAGCTTCTTTTGTGATATGAACTTGGCTGTTCCCATTATCAAAGGATCCCAGGACCTTGTTGTTGCTGAGCATAGTTGCAGTTCACTTTGGTGGAGCCATGGTTCTTATGTTGGAAGAAGCATCACTTCTTGACTTCAGAGGGGAAGTTGGTGTGCTGCTCAGTCTCCAAAAGAAAATTTCACCCTGGCTTCCCGATATGACATTGGTTGTTCTCATCATCAGAGTAGCTCAAGACCTCATAGTTGCTGAGGATGACCATTGTACTTTTCAGGGGAGCTCTGATTCTTACTTTAAGCATTACTTTCTAACTCCAATGCAGAACCCTCACCTTGCTGGCACAGATTCTTCATCCTGCTGGCCCAGACTTTTATCTTCACCACTGACCTTCGGGCCTTCCTACTGCAGATCCATGAAAAAGATTAGAATGAGACATTTTTGTGAGCTCTTGGTATCTGGTTGGACTTGTTGGAGTCGTTAGCATGGGCTCCAGGTCTTCATCTAGACTTATGCAGTACATTGCTTCGGATCCAGATCCTCTGCTGGTTTCTCTAGATCTTTAGTTTATGGACAAATTTACTGCAATTTCTTTGTATTTGACTCCTTGGGTGACCATTATAAATAACATCATAATTTATGTGTCCTGTATTATTGTGTTCTCCATGCTACCCCTGACTATAACATTGCCCTTTCTTCATTGTGCAATATAACCATCTCTCATATAAAGCAACAAGGACCACATTATTTGAGATCTCAAAGTTTTCCTTTTACAGAAATTGGCATGAGAAATTTTCTAGAACAAAGGCAATATTCAGTTGCAGCTGTCAGTCAAAGGCCTTATGCATCCTCCCTAAGGAACAAGTAAGAAATAGAAACAGAACAAAATAATGAACATTTTTTACTCCTTTTCCCTTTACTTTTAAATTCCTGCTTCAGTTCACATTGAAGAATCATGTCTAGGAAGATTCATGAAGTACACATCTGTCACTGAATTGAAATCACTCCAGGCTCATTATTTTGTAGTGTCCAGGCACTATTCATTCTATTAATTTTGACAATCTCACCAATTTAAAGAACCAAAGGAAGAAGTTCATAAGTATGGTTTTATGTAGAAATATTTGTATAGTGTCTTTTAGAATAAATTTAAAACTTTAATCATTCCAAAGGTCATTCAGAAGTCATAGTCCCATAGACTATGAAAGCTACGTATTGAATTTTAGGCATCAGTAATTTTTCCACTACCTCCCACATTTGCTTCTTAAATGCACAAGTGCTAAAAATCACAATGTTTCAAATCTTATGTAAGAGAATAATGATATATTACTATATGAAATGTCATGCATGTCTTATATTTTATGAATTTACAGCTGCGCGTTTTTCTTGAATGAAATCTGAAAAGTAGAGAAATGAGGGCATGAATAAAGAGGGCAGGGAAAGAGGAATAAAAATGTGAGAATTTTAAGTTTCAGTTAGGTAATCTAACTCCTAAAGCATAATGAATGCCCAAGAAAGTGAAGACACAGGAAATCAGGTCTATGATGGGACATTTCAACCAGAGAGTGTGGCTCTACATAACACAGTCTATTTTTTAATATGTTTTGGTTACAAAGTACAATGCAGTAAAGAGTGAAAATAGGAATAGGAAATATGGTCATTAATGCTGTGCAAAACTGTCAGTCTATCTTTGGATAGAGTATTTCAGTGGAGGGTTTATCTCTACAAGGAAATCATTCACATGTGTGAGCAGAATACTCTCTCAGCAGGAGTAAAAAGACAGACTATTAAATGAGTCAGACTCTTTCTCTAACAAAGATATTAAGTGTTTGGGTAAGACTGATGACATGAGAAATTAGAGCTATGTGATTGTTCCTAAAAATCTAAGAGCATACATCATTTTAAAGGTTATAAAAACATTCCCATTGGGGGCAGAGCAAAGATGGTGGATAGATAACAGCTGGCTTCAGAGGCTCCCTCAGATAGTCTATTTAGAATTCAACATAATACAGCATTGGAAGCCCTGAACAGAGGGAGATGAATTCTCTCATCCCAAGAAGAAACTAAGGTGAGAAGAACCAATCAAACATGCAGTTCCAGTGCTATTAGTGGAACAGCTAAAGATTCAGTGCTCTTGTCACACATAGCAGGTGACTTGCCCAGCCCTCCGAGGTTCTGCCGCTTGGAATCACTGGAGGTGCAGTCACATTGAGGTGGGGGTTGGCCAGCCGAATGGAGAGCTGGCAAGGAGCCTGAATTGACCTATGGTGAGTGATGGAAGTGGAGCCATTCCACAGAAGGGGGGCTCCAGCAGATGACAGTCTGGAACTGGGCAGGACCGGCAAGTACAAGAGGCAGCAGTGACTTTAGTCAGTTGATCCCTTCCCAAACAGGATTGGTGGAGTGAGTTAGGCCTGGGTCATGTGACCTGGCTTAGACCCAATAGGTTATTCGAAATCAATTGCCTACAGAGGTGGTACACACTAATGCAGTGAAGACCTCAGCAGGTTGACTGACCTGGAGGGGAGGCCACACACACTAATACAGTGAAGGACTTAGAAAACAGAAATCAGAAAAACATAGGTACCTGCAAAGGAAATCAAGGTAACCTGGGGTGTGTACCATCTCACAAACTTGCAACAAGAAAACTGCAGAATTAAGTATCCAACATAAAATTCTTTGAAAGAGAAAACAATTTATGAATAAATTTCAAGATTTCAAGAAACTTCAAAATTAAATACCAAAAATATTGCAACAGTGTCCACAATGACTAAAATAACGTGCTTGATTTCCTAATAATCATTGTAACTACCAAAATTTATAGACTTTGATCATCTAATAGATGACACATGATTCTCCTTATAGCTAGTATTTAACAAAAGAGAATTTTGTTTTACTATTCTTTCACTTGTATTCCATTTATATGAATTATTACATTATTTTCTTTGTACATTTAATAAAATTCTTATGCAGTTTAAAATCAGATAGGTTAATATTTATTTAGTTTAGGAAAATCAATTTTGTCTTAAGTATGCTCAGAAATTTTTACCAAGACTTTTTGACAGGTGTTTCAGTTTATCTCCCAGAAGATATGCTGATATGGAAGTGTCACCCTTTTATTTGCTTGAGTGTTTATTTTGACTTCGTTTTTGACAGCTATGTTGCTTAGATATGAAATTCCAACTTACACATTTCCATTTACTCAGCAGTGCTTTAAGGATGGCACCCTTTGGGTTTTTGACATGCATTGTTATTTGTTCCTACATTTTTACTAGTGCATATTGCTTATTCAGATGAGTGGGGTGGACTTGTACATGCACATAACATACTTTAATCATTCTCCCTTCATAATCTCCCTCAAATCACTCATGGTTACACTTCTGTTTTAAAGGGCTGGGTCAATTTATAAAACATTATTTCACAGTATTCATGTTTGCAAGGGCATTATTTCTCAAAATTTTGTAAGAGGGCTTTTGATAGGCCATTGTAAATTTTTTTTTATTTAGAGAAAAAAGCAAAACAGGAGGATCCTAAAATGGCGGCTTGCTAGGGGATCAGGTGGAGAGTCTCTCTGGAGGAATCATATTAGATGCTAGAATATGACAACATGGGGAGAGCCAGAGGAATGGATAACAATTCTTATTAACCAAGACAGCGCGGCTGGAGGATTTAATGTGCTGAGACTGCAAAGGCTGATAATGGGAGGCT